TTAAAAAAAATAATAATAAAATGACCCAGTTGGATGGAGAATTCTGCCTGGGGCAAAAAGGAAAAAAAAAAAAACCAAACAAACCAGGAGGTGGGAGAGGGGGTGGGGAGTAGCAAGGGCTGGGCAGGCCCTGGGTAAATATGAGTGTTGGGAGTGGTTCATGTTGATTTCACAGATGAATTAAAACATTTGATAACCCTGTAAATAGACTACTGTACATTTATATAAATGGTGCACTTAGCTTGTAGTTATAAGGTGCTAAAATTAATGCATGAAAAATGAAAGAGCCCGTGAGCCCAATGGTTGTTTTGCCGACGTGAAAGTCAAGCAAGCAGTTGGGCTGCTTTTTTTCTGCTCTGAATTGACCCTTTGTTTTGTGACCCAGCACAGCGGCACAAGCTGCCAGTTTAAGGCACTGCTGACTGTAGCACTGAGTGCAGAGTTCTGCGGGCTCCGGTGTGGGAAATGGAGCAAAGCAAACTTGCAAAGCCACGGGACCGGCTCGGTAAACATCTACTAAAGTGAGTGATTGCGGTTGTTTAATCACTGAGGTTGTCAGTTATTAGTTCTCCTTCCAGGGCACTAGACAGGCGATTGAAGGAGGGAAAATGTGCAGAGTAAGTTTGCAAAGCAGGTTTCATGTTATGATCTTTCTAATTCAAAGGCACTTCTATGAGGGAACTTCAAGAAATGTATGGGAAATGGAACTTAAAAGATAGGTTTATGTCGGTGCAAAAAAACATTTTTGAAATCCATGCATTTTTTTTCCTACATAAGGATTGCCCATGAACTTTTTGAGGACTTTCCATATTTTCTTGCATAGTAGTAAGGAAATGCACATTTACATACCCATGTGGTAGACTGAATATAATGGCTCCAAAGATACCCAAATTTGAATTGCAGGCACATGTGAATATGCCACACTTCAGAAAAGAAACCTTGCAGATGTGATTAGATTAAGGACTTGGGGGAAGCAGGGCCTGGGTTATCCGTCTGGGCCCAGTGCAGTCACAAGGATCCCTAGGAGAGTCACAGAAGGAGATGTAACAATAGGAGTAGGGGTCACAGTCCCAGAGGAAGAGTGGAAGGAACTACACCGATGCCTCTGAAGACAGAGGCAAAACCCAAGGCCAGGGAACGGTGGCAGCGTCTAAAGGCAGGAGAAGAAGGGAAACAGATTTTCCTCTAGACCTCATGCAAGGAATGCAGGCTACTCACACCCTGGTGCTGGGCTTTCTGTAAGAGAACACATTTGCATGCTTTGAAGCCACTGAGTTAGTATAGCAACTGGTAGAAAATGAATACAGGCCCCTATACCCTGTTTGCTAAGCAGAAAATTCTCGCAACTTTCTTAATATTCTATCCAACATGAACATATTTCATTTCAATGGTCAACTACTAAAAAAAAAAAAAAAGAAAGCAAAGAAAAAAATTAACCCAATCTTATTCAGTTAAAATGCTCCCACAAATATCTCACATTTGCCCTTGTTGGTGTGGGTGTTTGGTTTTGAGCCGAAGAGGAGCCGGAACAACAGGAAGAAGGAACAGCTCTTCTGTCCCTTTGGAATGGACTTGACTTTGCATTATTCATTGTCGTCCATCTGTCCAAGCTGCTCGTCTGTCCTGAGCGGGCTTGCTTAGTTCAGCTTAGGCATGGTCTTCATAGGCATATCTAACTGGGTGGAAGTACAGCACCCAATGTCAGATCCAGGAATGCAGCTAGTAAGAGCAGGGGCCGCCCTTAAACCTTCCCTGGAGACACTGCAGGGGAAGTCTCTGGCCTGGGTGACAGATGGAGATTCAGAGGGACGGGGTGGCCCAGATTTGCCGTCTAAACCCTAGAGAAAGCACTTCTAAAGCTGAGAAAAATCTCAAACTTGACCTACAGAAACCCAGAAGGCAGAACTTGCTTCTGAGGTAATATTATTTTAGAGCCGTTCTGAAGCCTTGTCATGCGTGAAAATTCGTGTATGGGAACATTTATCAAAACCATTTGAAGGCGCTGTCAGAATCTCCATTTGGCGTGCAAGGAAGAAATTGCAAACAGGTAGAAGTCTGCTAGGCTGATACTACGTGAGGGCCCAGTGGGAGCATAGGAAGTGGAATTGCTTTGCACCGAGTAAGAAAGCAGGAACATTGTATAAAACAGATCGCGGATTGGTGACTTCAGGTGGACGGCCTTTGCAGAGGTGTCAAGGACTCAAAGGGCACAGCTGTCAGTTTCTTCCAGCAAGGTGGGAGCTTTGTGGACGCTCGGAGGGAGACTCTGAGATGACGTCATGTGCGCCAGTTCCAGGCTGTTGCACTGGCTGCCAGCTCTGCTGTTTCCCCTTCCCTGGTGTGGGTCCAAGCCCCTCACCTCCCCCTGGCGATCTCTTTCCTGGCCAATCTCCGCGGCTTCCTCAGAACTCAGTTTACCTCTTCCGTTCCGTAGAACCTGCCCTGCAAACTCCAGCAGCCAAAGGTTGGTGCGTGAGCCCCTTCCAGCGGCAAGGACTGAACCCCCATTTGCCCTGTGATGCTACGTCTGTTAGATTGACTCGACTGGTTCCTTACTCAGATGGTAATCCGCTTCACGGGAGGGGTGGCATCTTGTCTACCTTGGATTCTCTGTGCTGGGTAAGACACGGCACACAGTAGGCATTCAACTGAACTGCGAGCAGTCTCTCTACACATTTGGAGCAAAGAATTCTCCGCCTCGCCATCCTCCCTCTTCTCTTCTTCCCGCTTTCTCCTTTGCCTCCGGTATTCACTCATGGAACATTCTGGAAGTTCAGGGGAGCCTCATCAGATGCAGCTCTTGCTCTGAAGCCTCCACTTCTCTCTTTCCTTTGCCTCCCTCACCCAGGCCGGCAAAGCGCATCTTTACAACATTTCTGCATGCAAAATCCCCAGCTGCGGAAACTGCACACAGGTCAGTCAACTGGGCGAATTCTGCGTCCACCTGCTTTTTAGGGTGCAAAACCCAGGGCTCAGGGACTCCCCTGAACTCCCTCTCTATGAACACCTACGTCCCTGTGCTCGGTTCTTAGGACTATTGTAGAAATTTACCCAAAACTGGCTGGCTTAAGATACTGATTCTTTCAGGCCAGAAGTCTGAAACCAAGCCACCAGCGGGGCCGTGCACTCTCTCTCTCTGAAGGCTCTGGGAGAGTCACTTCCATGGCTTTCTCTGTGCTTTGGTGTTTCCCAACAAGCCTTGCTGTTCCTTGGGTTGCAGCAGCATCCCACTATGCCCTCTGCCTCCGTCTTCTTGTGATGGCTTCCCTGCGTCTCTTGTCCTCCTCTTATAAGGATCCCAGTCCCATTGGATGAAGGGCCCACCCAACCCCAGCGTGACTTCTTTTGAACTTCCCTCTCCTTTGCACGTGTGCTGTGGTTTGGACGTTAGTTGGAGTGCTCCTTCAAGGCCTGGGCCCCAGGGCTTTGCTATCGGCAGGTGGTGGAACCTTGGGAGATTGGAGGCGGCTCCTAGGAAGGTAGCTGCCTTTTGACTCTGTGAGTCCTTGTGAGAGAGTGGTTACCAAAGTCTGAGTGTGTGTGTGTGGGGGGTCCTACTGATTTTCTGCTTCCTGGCTTGCCACGTGACCCTTCCTCGCATATATGTCCCCATTGTCATCCACTGCCCTCATCAGAGGCCACACCCGTGGGCCATCAGGTCACGAACATACCACAACGGTGAAGTAAATGCACCCTTGCTCTTTTTAGTCAGTTGCCTCCTGTGTTTCATAGCTGACTAATAGAATCTGCAAAGACCATATTTCCCACGAAGGTCCCATTCATTCAACCCTTTGCACAGGGTCCTGGTCTCAGCTTATTCAGCCTGGGACAGCCCTGGAGACGTTCTGCTCGGACTTGACTCAGCTGAACTCCGGGAAGGGGAAGATTCTAGTCGGAATACGCCCTGAAAATAAGTCCTTCACTGACATCCTGGGCCTGGAGCCTACTAATGCCAGCCCTCCAGGGGCCTGAAGTAGAGGAGACGCCTGACCTTGGGAGGTGTGGGAGCCTCAGCAGCTGCAGGGCTGGAGATCCTGGAGCAGAGCGCACGCAGCCTGCCTCAGTGGTGCCTTTCTCCTGCCTCACAGCAAAATCTCCACTCACCTGTTCTGCAGCCCTCCCCCACCCTGCACCTGCTGTTTCTTTCTAACTTGGCTTTTCCCAGCCTGATTCTGCCTCATGAACTCTCAGCTGTAGACATATTTTTCTTCCTTTTTTTTTTTTGTCTCCCAAGACCTTTAGTTGAGCTCACACCCAAGGCCTGCCCTGGGTGGCCCGGATGTTACACCCAGGGAGAGGGAGTACAGCCCACACAGATGTTCCTCTTGCTGAACGCTGGCCTGGCTGCCTGGCCCAGCAGACTTGCACCATCACAGAGTCCCCTTGTTATCAAAGGCCCTAGACTGGATACTGACCCTGGGCTTCCCCTCTGTGTAGAGTCTTGAACCTTTTGGAACATGTTGCTGTCACGTCTTGGCTGTGAAGCTACTTCTCCTGGTCTGCTGATTTGTTGCTCAGTACAGATGTAAGGAGAAAAGTCCCAGAGACAGTGCAAGAGCAAACGCCAAGTTTATTTGCAGTAAGCCTCAGAAGCCATGGGGCTGGTCTCTTTCATGCTGTTTCTTTTCTCCCTCCTCCTTTATCCCTGATGTACCAGCCCCTCATTGGTGCACATAGCAGGGGTTGTATTTGGATTGGCCCTTTCACGTCCGTCCATGAGCCCAGGGGTCAGTTATTGAATCTGCCACCTCTGTTCATGAGCGTGAGGAGGGGGTGGGTAATTGGCTTGCCCTTGCCTCTGTCCATATGTGAGAAAGGTTGGTAGTTGGTTAATATTTCCCACACCTCTGTCTTGGGCGCCGTATCACCCCTCTTCCTCCCTGTGGTCTATTCTAAATTGTGTTTTCTTGCATTTTGTTTTTCCCTGGAGGGGTGGCATTTTCCAGGAATTTGCCCAAAACCCACTCTTTTCCCTCTGACCCTGCCCTGAGAATCTCGTCTTAAAGGGCTGTGTTGGAAGAGTTGACCACCATGACAAATGTCATCTTGGAGCTGGTCATGGGGCTGTACACCTTATAGTCCCTCCGTGGGGTGGAGCAGGCCCAGGAAGAGCCCTCTGGTCCAACAGGGCCTCCCTCACGTGGAGATCTTCATGGAACGGGTATGCCATGTAGCGGAACTTCACCTCATAGTCTGTGGGGGTTCTGAGGGTGTATGGAGGGTAATTCTCCTTAGCAATTGCCACAATGCACGCTGCCATCTTGGAGGCCAGTTCTCGCGTGGTTACAGATGCAGTACAGTGAGCAGGTGGTCACCAGCAAGCCAGGAAGTGGCCCCGAGGCTGACACTGTCATTTTGACCTCCAGCCTCCTGCACGTGAGAGATGACTGCCTGCTGTTGAAGCCACCCAGTTGGCGGTGTTCTGCTATAACCGCCAGAGCTAGGACGCATGTCTACGGAGCGATTCTGGGCGGCTCGGGCCCTCCGAGGCGGGCTCCAGGGCAGCCCTTTTGAAGGTCGGGCCTGGGGTGTCTGCTCAGGCTGCTAATCTCCCCTGGTACCAGGTGGCATTTGTGTTTGTCTGGCATTTAGATAGGAAGCCAAGCTCTTGCCCTTGGGCCCTGCCTCGCCAGTGGTGACATTTGAAGCAGTAGTTAATATTGTTAATATTGTTGACTTTCCAAGGCCTTGCCAAACACAGCAAAATGGTTGCTCTCGCTTCTCCTGGTAGGGAGCACCCACCAGACTAGGGACCGAGTGGGCTCAGAGGAGGTCTTGGCACCCTTCCTGGCAGCTGGCAGCCCTTGCACCGGTACGACCCTTCTGTTTATTGAGGGAGAGAGGTTTGTATCGGTCATTGTAGGGTTGGTGCATTTCTGGAGGGAGAGAGTCCTGGATTGGATGGATTCCTGTTTGTCTGTCTGTGAGCTCTGCTTCCGGAGGAGCTGTGGCTACCGATGTGCAGCACACAGACCTCTGCTGCACCTGCCCCCACGCAGGAGGAGCCCCTCCTCCTCAGATGTAAAGAAACCCCGCTGCCCGTGTAACTGAACTTGGACTGTTAAGTACCACTCAGGTCTGGTTTCAAGTCTGGCAAGGAAGCAAAAACCTTTCTTAGCATTTCGCAGGTTGGGTCTCCTTGGTATATTTCAAGTTAGGGCGGTGAGCCGGCCCCTCCGATGTTTCTGGCTGTGAAATGGTGAGAGGGAGTCAGCCTCCACCAGCCCAGGAGCTGCTCCCTCACCTTCGTTTAACCACCGCTTTCAGCTTCCCTCGGTTGCGAAGGGAAGCGGAGATAGAAGCTCCCCGGGTTTGAGAAGACCGATTGACTGAGCTGTAACATTCAGCCTTTTCCATTCGCTAAGGTTATCAACGGGGAAGAACCCGCTGACTCAAATCTTCTAACCTGCCCGTTGTACAGAAGGCGGTTCCCAGCACTGGTTGTGTGTGTTCCCGGCTGCAGAACAAACAGAACTCAGGTGACCAGAAAGAAGCAGAGCCCATGGCTTTCACGGTGTTTACGAGGACGCACGGAAGACAGACAGCGCAGGGTGACGTCGTCTCCAGGGGGACTTGGCTGAGGTTCTGGAGGGGCACAACAGATAGAAGTGGTAGAATTAGCTCTCTGGGAGTCTCTGGTCCAGTTGGGGAGATGAGATGTAACTCAGGTAAAATTCCAGTTCCCCCTGTCTACAGGAAATACTTTCCAAGACCCCCTCACTGGATGCCTGAAACCGGATAGCACTGAACCTGATATATCCTGTCTTTTTCCTGTTTGTGCATAATTTACAATTCAGGCATAGTAACTGATTCACAATAATAACTAAAGAGAGTAACACTAACAATTATAATAAACACTATAGTATAATAAACATTATGTGAATGTGATCTCTCAAAATATCTTATTGTACCGTTCTCCCCCTTCCCTTGTGGTGCTGTGAAATGATACGACACCCACGTGATGGGAGATGTAGGCGTTGCGATGCTGTGTTAGGCTGCTTTGTAAGGGTGACTTCAGCTCAAGCACTGTGACACCATGACAGTTGGTCTCTAACCCAGAGACTGGGGTGACTTAAGGGGCAGGTGGTGTATGCAGCATGGGTACACTGGACAAAGAGCTGGCTCCCATCCTGCCGCGGGATGGCTTGAGAGTTCATCACATTATATAAGATGGCGTGTTATTTACACCTTATGGGTTGCCTAGTTCTGGAATGTTCAATGTGATATTTCCAGAACATGGTTGACCAGAGGTAACCGAATCTTTGGAAAGTGAAACCAAGGATGGGGCGGGGGCAGTACCATACACAGCACTAAAATGTTTCAGTGGCATTTAGAAGGGAGAGATGGGTGAGCTGTCTCATGGCAATCCCGGGCTGATTGCCAAAGTCGCCCTATCAGCAGGAACTGCCCTGCACTGGAGGGGGACACTGCTTTATGTGTGAGGGTCAAAGGGGCAGAGCTTGACCAAGGGGGTGGGCGGGTGGTTGACAGGAGAAAGAACAGGGATCCTTCTAGGCTGGCAGAATGAGGGCGTGGGCAAAGCTAGGGCATTTGCATTTCATGTTTTACAAATACTTGACAGAAACAAGAGGGCAAGGTCTCTCCTGCAAAGTCTGGATTTTGTAGTAACTGTTGACAATCTGAGCTTACCGCGCAAGTGTTCAAACGCATGCTTCATCGTGAAACTTAATAGAATATTCTACATAGCTGTGCTGAGATAAAACTATAAAAGCCATCAGCTTTTTAAAACAAAGATTTATTTATTTATTTGAAAGACAGAATGAGAGAGAGAGAGAGAGAGAGAGAGAGAGAGAGAGAATCTTTCACCTACTGGTTCACTCCCCAAATTGTCACAACCGCCGGGCCTGGGGCCAGGCCAAAGCCGAGAGCCTGGAACTCCATCCTGCTATCCAACATGGATGGCAGGGTCCCAAGGACCGGGGCATCCTCTGGTGCTTTTCCAGGCGTATCAGCAAGGAGCTCATATGAAATGCCTGCGTGGCAGACAGCAGCTTAACCCCCTGTGCCACAAGACCGCCCGCCCCCCCCCCCCAAGAGCAGAATTTTAAGGGTTACTTCTCCTGTAATTTCTGATAGGTCTTTTTTTTTTTTTTTTAAAGTCACAGAAGGAAATGTCGTTGTACTCAAAGCGGCTTGCATGATCTCGCTCGGGAAGACTTCTCGATGGGAAAGCAATTCTGTAATCGCACTTGTGTCCGCTTCACTTTGGCACACGAATTAACGCAGTAGAAGGAAAGCTTCCAGTTGAGGGAACTTCCTCAAACCTCCTCAGTCCTAAGAGGGGACTTCAGAGTGGCACCTTCAGCTAAGCAAGCTGGCGGTTTTACGACAACTTAGGAAGGGTCGCGTGTAGCTGACTTCTAGTATTCGACCCTAGGAAGCTTCCAGAATCTGCAGAACCCGCTTGCTGTCCTGACTTCCCAGGAAACCTTGCTTCCCCTGCAGCCTACCGGCACCACAAAGCGAGGACTACAAATGGTTTTCACAGTTCACACGGCGCAGACATGGCTCAGTGGGGCTCAAGTACACCCAGAAGGCATTTGGGCTATTTGCCCGAAAGCGGAGCCTGGCAGGCTTCCGAGCTCTGCCCTGGCCCTGACCTTGAAGGAGGGCACAGATCACTGGTTTACAAAGTCCATTGAAATAGAAGCCCCTCCCCAGAAGTCCACTTTCCACTGCTGAATGCAGCCCGTTGTGCGTGTGGTATACGTCTTCGCTGCCCGTGGGACTCTGTAAAAGGCCTGTTTGTATATGCTAATTGAAAGGATTTGAGTGTGACACAGTTACTGGGTTCTGGGAACGCAGAGATCAAGAAGCAAGGTTTCCCGGGGCCCAGCCAGAGATGCCTACTGGATAGTCAGTCAGGTGTGTGTGGCAGAAGATGTGAAGAAGTGAGCAGGAGTAGTGAGAGACTGGCCATGGAGGAAGGAGGGCTGGGTGAGTGGACCCACCAGTCCATGGCAATAGAGGGATGTGGGGGCAGGGAGGACATGAGTAAGCCCCTGGGACTGACACAGGTGCTGCCCCCGGACCGACATGGCTGCCTCTGGGGCAGTGGTTCATCTGCGTGCCTTTCTGGATTCTTCCCCTTTTCTCCCACAGGTACCGTTGCACCTGCTTCAGCATTCTAATCCTGTCTTCCATAGTCTAAGGCTTTGACCTCTGGGGGCCTTGCTAACCCTGAAAGACTGAGCCTTGCAGGAACGGCGGATTCCAGGAGATCCAGACTGTCACCTGAACTCGCCCAGGGCCACTGTTTCCAAATCCAAACCAAGCAATCCAGAGTCCACAGCCCCAAGCACCACCTTTATCAAACCCTCATCTTCTGGGCTACTGTGCATCTGCCCGGGCCTCTAGGTGCTAGCTAACTGGGGACAGCGCCTCTAGCCCAGAACCTGCGGACACGGTGCAAACGGTGCAGTCCTGACTTGGTTATCCTGCCTTGCCCATTCCTTCCCTTAGAAACCAGTCCAGGCTCTTGACCACAGCCCTTCCCTCCCAACCTGCCCTGCTGTGTCCCTGGGTGATGCTTGCTCTAGAGGTCTGTGAGACACAAGCTATCTTTTCAGTCTCCTGATCTGTGGGCCTCACCATACCCACCTAATAATACGCCTGGTGAAGTGGCCTGCATTGTGGCGTACTGAGTTAAGCGCTGCCTGTGATGCCGGCATTCTATATCAGCGCCAGCTGGAGTCCCGGCTGCTCCGCTTCTGATCCAGCTCCCTGCGAATGCGCCTGGGAAGGCTGCAAAGGACGGCCCAAGTGCTCGGGCCCCTGACACCCACTGGCCCAACCCTGGTTGTTGTGGTCATCTGGGGAGTGAACCAGCAGATGGAAGATTTCTCTCTCTCTCTCTCCCTTTCTCTCTGTAACTCTACCTTTCAAATAAATTTTTAAGAAACAAAAAACCTGGTAAAACATTCGGTTCTAAAGACTCACAAGCCACTGCCCTACCCAGGCAGGTGCCCCTACTCCATAATCACCCCTCCCACCAGTTCCGTCCTCTCTGTTAGCATTAAAGAGTCATCTAGCTGATAAGCTAGTGAATCAAGTGAAATCCAAGCAAAGTGTAACTTAGAGTTAGCAGATAGCAAAGAACTTAATATTGCCTCTGGAATTTTGTATTTAAGGCTCCAGTAGGCAATATTTGGCCTGGGAGTAGAAATATGTGACATTAAGAAGTAGATTTGAAATCTATTGACCTAGAAAAATTCGGGTCGTGAATTGGTGGGACCTGGG